CACATCTTTCCAGCAAGTAACACATGAAAAACTAAATGAGGATCACATGGATATTTGTCAAGCTTAATTGTTACAAATAGTCCGATGCTATCCAACTGTAAGTGATGGTTACAAGAAATACACCTTCAGTTTGGCCTGAAATATATCCAGGCATTTCCGGAACATCAAGTCAAATGGCTCTAATAATAAAGTATTTTATTACGTTACATGTCATTCAGCTGAGGCTTTTATCCAAAGCGACTTACAATAAGCGCATTTCAACCGTAAGGATACAAACTCAATTTCATTAAATAAGTTGATTTACAACTTGCCTTAGATAAGAGTCATTACAAGTACAATTTAAGTGCTACAATGTGTTAATGTTTTTAATTATCACGAGGTGACGAGCATCTTGAAATGAGCATGTGTAATTGGGAGAGAATACGGTCATTTTTACATTTTTTTTTTTTTAAACAGAAAAAAAAGTCAAATGAAAAAAAAAAATGTTATTTTTTCTTTCTGTGCGGCCTGGTACCAAATGGGCCACGGGCCGGTACCGGTGCTAACGGGGGGGGCGTTTTAATGTTCTCCCCTCCTCCATAAAATATAAAAGGAAAGATTTCTATTGTCCCTAAACGGGCGTGGAGGAGGAGCAGGTCCTCTCGCCGCAACACAAGATCCAATCACATGCAATGTGTGGTCTCCTAAGACTAATGTGAACATAAGGAACAAAGCGCGAGTGTTTTATGGTGCTTGGTGTGTCTCCAGCTCTCATCCTTATCAGACCTGTGTCTGCCTGGTTGGCACGTTCTGCTTTTGCCCTTTGACCTTTCACTCCTCCAGACAGTGACTCCCTAAATGGGCACTATGAAAGAACATTTGATTATCAAGGGTAACAAAAGGAGATGCACTTTCCATAAATATGTTAGGATAAATGCACTGTGGAATCATCTTTCATCTTGAAAATACGTTATATGTTTACTCACCTACTGATGTACGTTTTCAGGACAAGTCACATGATCCACATCCTGATGTGACCATGCGCTTTCCTGGATTCCAGAGGAAGTGGGAGGAAAGCCACATGCCTATGGGCTGTAAACAAAAGCATTTGTCCACCATGAAGTGGCATTATGCTTTCTATGAGTGCTTCAGACCAGTGCCACAAACCCCATCTGATCCAGACACTCAAAGGCCCGGTCCTTGTTAGGTTGCATAGTGCTGCTGATTTAGTGAAGCAAATAGTCCTCGATCACTGTGGTTCTAAGTAGATTTCATCTGTCGCCACTTCAAATGAATATTTATTCATTGTTGGATAATTTTTCAGTCGTCACTCACGGCAGAGCAGACCATGGGGTGAAACTGGAGCTCTGTATTGTCCAAGTACCAATTCTGTGAGCAGAAAACATAAATCATTTTCACAACGAATGTTGATTTTTTTTTTTTTTTAGATTCAGTGTAACTGAACATGGGCACCATATCCTATCATGAGGCTGGAAAACAAAGAAGAGGAAATAACACTCATCCGTGTCCAGAGTGGCTATTATACGCTTTAACAGAGCAGAGCACGGTTCCTTAATCCCACTCAACTTCTCACTTGCTGCTTTCTACAGGCAGGTCGCCATAAATGGACATGAGACACAAGACTGGGCAAGTGGAGAAAAAGCGTGTGTCTGTTCTCGGACTTTCCATCTGAAAAATGATTCAGAGTTGTGAAATAAGGCATGACGCTTCTATTTTGACAATTCTCGGTTTTATATAAAAACGTGAAATATTTGTCAATGACAAACCTGGTATTTTAGAGAATATGGACACTGACGCACTACTTGGTACCAGGAAGTCAAATGTAAACTAAGACCTTTGCGGAACACGTATCAATAACAACCTCAAAATGACCATGTGGGCTGAAAATTAGGTGTTTGTTTGACTTTATATTTCAGACTGGACCAAAGTGGCGGATCGACCGAACAGACTGACCTACTCTGCAATCCCCAATGCCGGGCTGTCAACATATATTATCATCCTCTAAAGGTGGAACATTAGTTAAACATTAGTTTACTTTGTTATTTATCCTTCACAGATTTATCCGAGTGACACATACAGTTGGTTTAGTTCATTTTGAAGTGCAGTTCTGATTTATTTTATCATGCTCAGGCAGGGTTGTTCACATCAGATGACATTAATGAGCAGAGGAGGTGACTGTCGGGCACAAAGCAGGGATTTATGTATATATTATGTGTTATGTGTAAATATCAATGTAACTAAAGCACATTTACACCTGCCGTTTTACACACCCAAGCTTGGCATAACATTTATTTATTAATAAAAAATGAGTCAAACAGCCTTTATAAATCATAATTCATATTTGTTTTAATCTAATTTACAGCATAAGATAGAAAGGTCCTTCGTCAGATAATCATTGTATAGGGTAACATATGATATAATGAAGTATTGAATGAAACGCATGGTCACCTAAGTAAGGGTGACCAGGGACGAACGGGCTGAAAACAACGCATAGACCGCAGCAAATATTCACCAGACTTGCCAAACCTTTATTCACTTTAAAGATGATATCAAACTAAAAATCCCCCACATGGAAACCTGAACTGTTTTTTCTCTCTGAACATTCAGTCGTACCGTCAGAATTAAACAAACGTCAAACCTAGTTTGCATTTACTTCATATTAGGGTTGCGTGTCACCACACATGAAAGAAATGAGCACGTCTCTACACGAGAGACCCTCTGCTGTGCTAAACCTGCACTAAGACACAAGCATCAACTCGCTGATTTCCCCCCCAAACAGCACACAACATCAGGAGGGCGGATAAGGATAGAGAACTCATTGTTTGACATAAAAACACAATTGCAAGTTCCAAAAAAGTATCAATGCCTTGCATTCACATGGCTGCTACGGGGGGTCAAACATGTGACCTTTCCATGAACAGATCTAGGACACCAAATTAGTCCCCCTGCAAGAAAATAGACAGTTTGGCCATTGTGTATGACCAATGCTTTACTTCTTTCAGTCATGTTTCCCCGACCCCCCCCCCCCCACCCCCCAGCTGACCTCATGTTAATGCTTACAGCTTGAAGGATACGCAAAAGCAATATTGTTTTTAGATCTAGGATGCTAAAAATGAAGGAAAAGCAAGGAAACGGAATGTGGGGGGGGTCATCTTAAGGGGTAATGGTTACTTATCATGGTAAGTAACCATTACTTGCTGGTTTAAATACAGGCGGATTTACCATAGAGCAGCTATGCACTAACAGACCATCACATGACAGATTAATCTCCCTTTTGATAAGAAACATCAGCTTGTTTGATCACTCAGGGAGGATGGACGAGAACAGAATGTAATGGAAATAGATTGAAAAGAATGTGTACACATCAAAAGTACATAGGCGTTTAAAAAAAACATATATAGAAATCATGCTTACTCAAAATCACCACCACGTCCTGTGTCATTCGTACACAAGAGGTAATAACAAAAAGGTGCAAATGAGAAACAGCAGAAGTACGGTGAATGTCTCAGAGAGCAACATGAGCGTTTGGATTTAAAACTTTGTCCAGCAGTATGTAGCTCTCTTGCGTGTAATTAAACACAACAGCAGGGTTCACGATCACATATCGATTGTTTCATTGAGTCAATTAAGAAAATCCCTTGTTTGAATCATCCTTTTTTGCCTCAACACGTCTGAAAAGGCACTGGGCCTTATACAGTTCAGCACGGCAGGAGTGAAATAAAAGCATGAAGTACTAAACTACCCACATGGAGTATTTTCACGGATCGTGGTACGCTTCATGCACATGACATGCAGAGTCATCCTCATCAACAAAATGGCACGGTCACATTTAGCACTCTTGAATGACACGTTACAAAAAGAGAAAACAATTTGAAATCAAGTTTTCCATCTGCAAGGCAAGTATGTAGAAAAACGAAAACGACTCGTGTGTCTGTTGGCTTCTACATGAGCGAGGCAACCGTTAGGACATTTCACCTCGCAACATCCAGTCTTTATATCCGTGTCTCAGCGTTTAGAGCACAAGGACGGTCCTCGTTGGGGTATCAAAGGGAGCACTGTTCCCTCGGCTTGGCACTCACGAGGGACTGTGCAGATTCCAAGAGATGACTTGGGAGAGCTTCTTGTAGAATGAATCGAGGCGAAGACGTTCACTTTGAGAAGAGGTAACGTGTGAGGTTTGTTTGCTGAAGAAATATTTGTTTCTTTTTTTCGAAAAGCGCTCTACCTTCACTTTGTGGCCCCGGATGCACCAAACACCCCTCCCCCCCAAAAAAAACTGGTCACTTACCCTTTTCGTCAAAGGGTCCCATGAAACTTGGGTGAACATTCTTGGCTACATGGAACTTAAGACTCACAAGAGAGGAACAAGAGAATAGAAAATCAAGCGCTCGGCTGCGGAAAAGCACTGACCACAATCCTTTCACACACATACCAGCCTAATTTCATCCCCCCTCCCCCCGGTCTTTTTGTCCATTAAACGTCGGCCCCATTCAGGCCACTAGGTACCAAGATAGCATTATCTCTCCCTTGATCCTCGTATTCCGCCAGTCGTTCGGGGCCTTTTATCAGCCCCTCCCCCTTGTCCTGCACTCCTGTTACTGTTTGCAAGGACCCAGATCCCCTTATGTCAGTAAGATACAGTAACCTCCTCCACCCATCCCTCACACATGCAGGATCAGGTCCCAGCTGGGGCCTAACGTAAACAAAAACCCATGCACACACACACACACACACACACACACTTTCAGAAACTATGGGAGAGAGACATGGCATGATTTGGTAATGTGAGGCCGGTCCCGGGTGGAGGACATTCTCATGATAATTAGGGATTTAGCTGGCGGGAGCGCGTACGGACCCAGACGCGGATTCCTCAAGGCAAAAATGTGTTTTTTTGTTCCTGTACAGGGGAACAATTCCTGGCTTTGTAGAAAACGGAGGTTTTCTTCTTTGGCTCCTTGGCCCCCCCCCCCCACCCACCTGCTGAACTCTGCCAGCGAGCTCTAACCCCCTCCCCCCTGAGCTGAGCAGCGTCCCACCCTCACGCGCAACGCGCCGCTCTTGTGCAGGTGCCAGAGCTGCACAAACTCCTCGGGCATGGCGTGGAACCACGTGTAGGGCAGGATGTTGTCGTAGTAATGGTGGCTGACCGGCTGCTCGTCCAGGCCCACGGAAAAGGGCCAGAAGCCGTAGGCCGTCACCTCCTCGCACAGCCCCAGGGCCAGGCTGACCAGGAAGAGCCCCGTGGAGAGGCGGCGAGCGTGCACGCCGCGGGCTTTCCAGAACCGCCCCACCGTGCGCAGGAACTCGGGGTTGGCGAAGAGCATGGTGAGGTTGGAGGAGGAGTCGGCCAGGGCGTGGTACGCCCGCAGCGACGGGTCGGTGCCGGTCTTCATGGAGAAGGCCGGCATGTAGATGTAGCCGGAGCCGTAGACCTTCATGCTGTCCACAAAGACCTTCCTGGACCACAGGAGGTTCTGAAACCTGAGAGAAATAGAGCGGAAAAGAGCGTGAATGCCTGGAATCCGAACGGGATGACTCATAAGGACAGATGTCTGCTCCCTCTCAGAGGAAACTCTTTGAGATGAATCTCCTGAGATCAGCACAATGATGTCAGGGCGTAACCCACGCACGCTGGGAGGCTCAAACCTCTGAAAGTGACCAATATCGCTTTACAATCGGTGCACGCGTCACCTTTTCTCTATGATGCTGGGGTTGGCTGTAACCAGGTGAGTTCTGGTCCCCACGTCGTCCACGTATTCCTTTGACAGTGGTGGAAGGTTGCACCTAGATGAACAAAACACACACACACACACACACACACGCATAAACAGAGAATGTATTTCAGTCATCACCTCCTGATTAGGTGGGATTGCGACATCTAGCAGAGAGGCGATGTGTACGCCATTGTGCGAGTTTGAAATGGAAATCAAAATGTCAAATCAAAAGACCCTTAATTGTCATCGACGAGGCAAAAAGAATGGGAATGAATGATTGCACGACGGAAGGCGTTAAAAGGGAATGACATGGCTTGTGTTTGGAAGTGTTTGCTCTGTTTAAAATCTTAACTGGAGTGGAAATGTCCCTAAACACATTTTAAGTGTTAAGCGAAAGCAGCTTTCCCCCCCCCCCTCCCTCGCTGTGACCCATCTTTACTGTCTTCGGCCCCTTCCCCTCTTGGCTGCAGTCGACACCAGCTCTCACTGTCGCCGATGGCGTTTGGCTACTCTGCTGTGTGTGTGTGAGGGGGGGGGCAGCCCGTTCCCATTGGAAAAGGAGCAGGTTTCTCACCGGAGGACGAAATCGGCTTGGTCAATGTCCCGTCCACATTGGCTGTGCCGCAGAATGCCGCCGTTGCCCACCACAGCGCACTTCTTCAGCGGCAGGCGCAGAGGGTTGTCCTGTCGGTCAGAGGGAGACACGCGGCTCTGTCAGCGCGCACAAAAGACAGACGTTTATACATTGTGTTCGCTTTTATTCTTTGTGAATTTAGTTGAAAACGTATTATTAGAATGGATGCAGGTGCATGCGTCGGGGGCCTCGGCCTCTTGCTAATTTCCCTTTACGGCCTGATGGTGCTGATAGTCAAAGCAGCATGGTTATCAGTGGCAGCGCCAAGTCACGACTGTGCAGCTTTTGAATCTGTTTCTGTTTTTGGATTTGGCCCGAGAGTAAAGTCTGTTTCCGGCGGTTACTGTTTAATGAAAAATACAGAGCAAACAAAAGAAAAGATGAATGAGGTTAGTGAAGGAAAATCTATTTTCCTCTTTCCTGTTAACGTCTGGCTGCTCAAAAAGAACCCCGAACACTACTTCTTTTGAGGTTAACGTTGTCACATTATTTGTCATATAAAACAAATGTTAAAGGTGGAAACAAGTACGCCTTCATTGCACCGCTCAATGAATTCTTTTGAACTGGACATTATTAGACTATTAATGCGGTCAAGATATTTTATAAAACTTTTAATGAAGATCAATTGTATATTTAAGCTGGTAAAGTAACAATCTTACTACTAAGGGGGCGTTTCAACCATTTAAACATTACGCTTAGTTTGCAAACCTTCAACCCTTTTCAGTGATGACTCGAATTGTATATCCACACGTTGTAGCAGTTTGAAATGCTCATTCGTTATGTTAAGCTAAATTGTTTAGCCTTCTCTACTTGCTGACTCAATCTGTGAATTCATATTTAATGGCAGACTTAAACCCGCGGTCTAAATCCGGTGAGTCAGACTACGGTACAAGTAACCCTGGGGATGGGAATCACTGCCCTATCATTATTTTGAGTAAACCCATGCACGGCGTCGTAATAAAGCTGCAACAGAGAACCCTAAAATAACACGCCTCATGAAACACAGGCCCAAAATGTCCTTTCCCTTCGCCTGGGCTGCAATTAAATCAGAGGCATGGATTATTATTGTGCTCATTATTCCCCCTGGAGTGCGCACACTCAGGAATACACACACACACACAGACACACACACAAACAAATGTCTTCTTGCCTCAGGGTCTCTTTTAGACCGTGACAGGGGGTTGAGTCAGAAGACAATGCCCCGCTAAAAGTGCATCCAGCAGGGGAGGGGAACCAGCAATTTGGGGCGTAAATATTTGAGAGGGGGACACTTATCAGAGCAGCACATGATCCAGTAGGTTCTTGGTATAATCTCTTGTTTGTTTTGCGCTTCATCATTTTATTTTTGTCTGAACAACCGGAAGTCAAAATGTATTTCTGTAGCATGATGTCCATTTCACAGTTTGTTTTACAGTAAAAAAAACCTGTAAAAAACCTTGTAAATGCCAAAAGGAGAACTCACAGCAATGAATGGATGGCCCGTTCAGGCCATTGAACTAACCAGCAATTAACAGTCAACGCCATAATTGGCACATTTCCTGGCAGAAGCCAGGATACTTTGGCTGTCGGCAGCTTAGTGCAGTGTGGCTGTCTGTCTGAGTTCCAACCTGCAATCACAGCATCGGTAGTTTGAGAAGGCAGAGAAGAAATGCGCATGAGAGCTTGTGCTTTGTCCAATCCCAACTCATTATAAATGGCCTTCTTTGGTGAAACACTCACGGAACTGGCCACAAAATAAGAAAGCAGAGGGAGTGCAGAGACGTTGCTAAATTTAGACCACGCGAGCCGTAGATGGAGACCCTCAAAGTTGGGAAATGGGACCGTAACCCTCGGCAGCGTGATCCGTCACAGAGCTAAATGACCACCAGCACCAGCGTACTTGTTAGCCAACATCACTGTTGTGTAGCAGTATAAACGTTAAGTGTTATGTAATGTGTAACCGGACATTTTCTTTGTCATCTGACTCAATTTGGATGGACCATTTTAATCTGAAATGAAAGTATAAATATATATAAGCAATAAAATAAAGGGAATATAAAGAAACACATTCAATTCTGAAGCCCACCGCACATCGAGGCACACATGCACACACACTCCATATCCTCCTTTTGTTAATTTAATGGCACACCTCCCCCATCCCTCATGAATGAACATGCACTGCTCGCGCCTGCAAATTAGGGTCACAGATACATCGCATTTACACAACCAGGATATAAGACTGCAAATCTGTGGCATCCGTAACAGGGATCCAATCTTCTCTATCAGGGAGATGCATTGCCCCTGGATACAAAAACCACGGCAACAGCACCTACTGAGGAGGTTCTCCATTTTTTTTTGTGCTGTTTCCAGGCACAAACGCCCTCATCCACATGCGCGCCCACACGCAGGCACCGGTCCATGTAAAAACAGCCAATACATAATGTCCAAACGTAAAGTCTCCAATTGGAAAGGAAAGGGGGGGGGGCGACTTGTTGAGGGAGAACAACATCCTCCTACAGTTTATGCCAATGATTTACACATCTCTAATATAGAAAAGACCCAAGTGGTAAAATGAAAGGAGATCACACATCCTCCCGAGCCATTGACGCAGAGCAGGAGGTCTGGTTTGAAGGCAAAAAACACTATGTTCTCATCTGCACTTTTCTAACTGATGATTCTTATCGTGTCGCTAAAAAAACATTAAGAAAAAGTGAAAGATGCACGTCAAAGTGATGAATAAAAAAGTGAAAGAGCAACTTTCACTCCAGCTGTGACCTGATACTTTGTCTCAATCCCACTCAGCCCCCCCATCGAATAAGGACCCTACGAGAACCCACAGTAAAACACACAGTCCTCACAAGAGTCCTGTATTGCACCAAGTGGGAGAGAAGTCAACTTTCCATCCGATCACACTGAATTTAATCTCGTCTTTCTTCCTTTTTCAGGAACGCGAATACCTCTTTAATTGTTTTTTTTAACAGTTATTAACATACCTTCACGAGGAGGGGGTAAGTCTCGTTATTGACGGTGTGCGAGTGGTAGAACTCGCCGTCGTACCACAGGACCTTGCCCGTCGGCGAGTTCTCCTTCGTCACCGCGAACATCCTCCTCGGATCGCAGCACTCTGTCAGCAACTTCCTGCGAGGGGGAGGATTTGTGAAAGGAAATAAATTACCGTGTGGAGAGTTCAACGCAAAATGCGACTCAAACAGGCCGCTGTGATTCTGGTAAAATGATTATTCATGAATCGTTTATTGTTATTATTTGTGAAGAGACACCCAAAGTAAGATCTCTATTAACATGACAGGAACCTGTGCAGCATGTCGGTGGAGCTCATCACATATTTTCATACTTTCACTTTTCACAAAGGATTTTAAGATTCAGTCAGTGACACAAAGTCCCACGCGGTGTCTGTGGCAATAGTATATGCAGTATAATACTATTATATTCCTGTAGCATATCATACAACGCATTGACAGAGACAGTGCTTTAACAATGTTTTGGGTGGAATAACAGTTTTTTAAACAAAAGATTTCTGAAACATTAACCACTTTCTTTTGTCACATTGACATGACGTCCATATGCTCAGACAAAGGAGGTCAAGCCACAGACACTGTACTGTGATTCTCTCCTTTATATAACTTATTATAGGTTTGCATTATTTACCGCGAGTGGGCTTTAAAGTAGATAAAAAAACACAACATAGGCTTGTTATTGAATAGAGGGACCCACTAGAACCCACCTATTGGACATCTAGGACCCCCCACCCCCCCGGGGACCGTCATTTGTGGGAAAACAAAGCTTCAAAAAAGCAAAGGACGGAGATGCGAGACGAACCTGTACAGATCGATGCCCGTCTGGTTCTTCTGCCATACCCCCCCCTGCTTCAGCACCTCTTCCACGATGTCTTTATCGCGCGGGAGTCTGTAGACGGGGAACACGTAGAACCAGCAGAGGACCAGCACGCACATAGCGGCCCACACCGACAGCTTGCCCCGGTAGCATCGCACCAACATCTTCCCCGGCCGCCTCGTCTTGTGCGTTTTCCAACCGGTCCTAATCCCCCCCCCCCCGACCAGACGGGGTTGGAGTATGAATGGAGCTTTTCAAGGTAGGTTGTTACCCGGTCCTTAGGGTAAAGCGTCGGTCTGGAGAGGCGCCGGTGGAGAGAAGCGGGGGCTTCCAGCCCTGCAGCGGCGGTCGTTGGGTCGCGGGGCGGTGGTGCAGTGGCTCGGGCTCTGCAGGAATCCGCCGCACCGATGTCGGTGCATCAACACCATCGTTGCAGCCTGGTTGTTGAGGAATCATGCGGACCCCTCCTCCTCCTCCTCTCCCCTCCCCTCCGTGTCCAAACCCCCAAAGGAGACCCCCCGCTGCGGGCCACGTTAAACCGCTTTCTCTCGTGCCCTCTGGTCTCTGTCCTCGGGGCCTCCGCTGTCCTCGTCCTGCTACCCGGGTCTGCAGGGGTAAGTAAACCGGGCCACTCCAACTCAGCCTCCCCGCCCGCACCTCCCTCTCTTTCTCCCCGTCACCCCCCCCTTCCATCGACACAACGTGCTCTTGTTCGGAGCAGGCAAGTTGCACGGGTGGCAACGGAAGTCGACCTTGAAAGTAAAAGCACGCACGTAGAGAACATGCTGACACGTCTCTTATTGTGGTGGGCCAGGCTAATTGTTTCCTAGGATGCTATTGTAAGCTAAAAGTAAGACACTAAAGCTACATTTCAGCATCCATATGAAAATGAGCATGCTTAGTATTGAGTAGGTGAATGTGTCAACAATGTAAAGTAGATGGTGCATCAACATCATGTGCTTGTATATGTAGCTACCTTCTTTTGTGTAAAAAAAACGTTAAATGTCCAAACTGGCCAATTATGGCATGTAGTTTTTTTTCAACCCAATGTTAACTGAGTGCAAATGAAAGAGCAAATGTGAGCCACCCATCTGAGACGTGTGATGTGAAGCGCTGCCGTACTTTTCTCTGCAGGGAAATGGCTTTGATTGAGATGAATGAACGAGACGCTCTTGCAGCTGACAGCCACAGCACCACACCCTGACTCCAACATAAAGTCACCTTATGATCCGCTTTTTGAATCCCAACATGTTTTACTCATTTCTCTTCCACAAATGCACGCAGTGCACTCACATTCTGCACTTTAATATTTCATCATTTTCTATTCCATTCTGAATTTCCAGCACACAGTGGCAGCAACGATATGTAAAATGAACCTCTGCTGCCCTCGTGTGAAGAGAGTGTGTAAGATTAAATTGAAGCGGCCTTCATGGTCCATAAAAAGAAAAGAAATCACGTGTGGTTGGAGGCATTTAAAGTGACTTTAATCTGGACACATAAGCCGATGAAAGTGCGGGTAGCTGAGCTATGTTAGCTCCTCAGGGCGTGTTGGGAAGCGTCAAGGTTACAACAGCATGGCAGAGGGATGTCATGGCAGACCACAGTCATGAGTCAGCTGCTCCATCTGCGCTCTGTGTCCGGACAGCGGGGCCCCCACAGAGGCCTGTACCAGAAAAAAAATGGATGAATTATTTGAAGGTATTGCCATTTAAAAATACTCAAACGTTTCGTTTGCTCAAACCAAAACGAAAGGGCACCCAGTGCCAGAATTATTGATGACATTTAAAATAATAATAATAAATAAAAACATAGTATCAACTTGTATATCCATTCTTGTTAACAAACTCAAATTATCAAATTGAATAAATAAATGATTAACAGGCATAAACAGACAAAACAGGGCCATATTTTATAACCAAATAATATGTTAAATAATCAAAAAATCAACACTCTGCTCTGACTAAATCAAAGGATCTTCACAAGAGCATCCTTCATGGTGCAACTTGTATCTGTGCATGGGCCTGCTATTCAGGGCCTATAGTGTATCTGCGTATACACAGATGGTGTAAAATACCACAAACCTCTAAATGAACACCTCTTCATCTCCAGAATGAAGTGGCCGTGTAATGACAATGGGTTCAGATGGATTACATCAACAACTGAAAGAAACGTGTAAAAAGGTGGGTTAGTATTAAGCATCCATAACCTACATTGGAGAATGGGTGTCAAGCCCGAAGGTTCAAAATGAGTTAGTTATTTGAGATTTACGGCCTGACGAGGGGAACAACGGGGCGTCACACTGAGCTTGTCGCCTACCGATCTATGAAAGTACCGATGGTAGAAAGTGCATCACAAGCCCTTCCCCGATGGCGAGGCCTCCCTGCGTTTTACTCTGCGCGTGCACGTGTCCCTGTGGAGACAGAGGGGAGTTGGGTTGCAGCAGAAATAGAGCTCCCACCTGCTGGGGATCACAGGAAGAAAAAAAGAGCGATGACGGAACATTATTTGTTTTGCCACATCCATCGGGCCTCATTGCTCAGGGAGGCATTGCCTCTTTTTCGGCGGCAGTTCCTCCTCTGGTATTAGTGGCAGCAAAACCAACACTGCACAAAGCTATTAAACAGGAACTGCAAATGTTGAATAAGTGTACCCTTGGAAAAATGGGAAAGTAATCAGTATGCCCAGAGGCTTGGACTGAGCAACATTGTTGGCTGTATCAGCACGGAATTTTCATTTTAAAATTTCAAAAAGTGACTTTTTTTTACATTTATACAATTTCATGATCTTAATTTCAATATACAAATATGCTTCTATATATTTTAAGTGTTATTTATTAATGGATGAATATATGTAAAACACATTTGTTTTAGATGATATATATGATATACAGTATATTATAGTAACTTTTCTGTTACATCATTCATAACCATACATTAGATTTGTGTATTGGGGGGACATGGCATAAATAATACAATATTCAAGGGGACAATTGCAGATGCATCAGACACAAGGATCATCATTTAACTCAAGTTTGAACATGCTGTTTCTGCAGATACATCTTCACACCGGGTTTCTAATTGCTGAGAAGCCTTCATAACTCACAGAGCGCAAAGGCTCAGCGTAGACGTCCTCGTTGCTAATGCCCTGCTCACCAAAACACCTTATCACTTGCATCAGCTTTATTCCAGTGTAAGCCAGTGGAAAGAAGAGCAACTTGATGCTTCGGGGTTAAGCGATTTGCAATGGATGTCAGAGCTCAGGCCAAGATTAGCTCTGAAATCTTTGATAAAGTTCGGCCAAGAAATTGTGGACAGCAGATGTTAATAAATAAACACACAAGACTGAGATACAAGGCCAACTGCAGTGATTTAGTTAAGATAATCTAGTATTTGTAAATGATCAGAAAACTGCAGCTAAGGCCGTTGTAATCACCGTAGTTATGCAGCTTTTCAACCTTTGCACACGTTTTGTTTGGTGAAACAAGTCAAAAGATGATAATTGTGTTCACACTGTACACAAGATCTTTCTATTTTCCATTCTGTGGTTTTCTCTCTTGGAATGTAATTGTAAAATCAAAGAGTGAACAGTGAACATATGGCCATTCCTCAGGAAATACAGTCATTTGAGTCTCATTTTTATCTTTTTATCACATTTGAAGGTTGAACAGTAGCATCATATTTTACACATATGTCAAACACTAACATTTATTTAATTGTATGACTGTATATTTGTCCCTGGTTATTTGCAGAACATCAGACGTAGCAACACGAGTGATGAATAGATGGAATGAAGAAAGTGTCTGTTTACCTATTGAGACCATTGAAACAATACATGATACATTCAAACCTGCTATTCTGCTTCTCATCCAATGGTGGTGGAACAACCTCTTATTATTTTACACAAGTTATTCCTACTATTTAACCTTGATTCGCCCCATTGATAAATGAGTGGTAATGACAAGAGCTGACGATCTCTGCATGTCCGACAAACAGCTATTTGCTGATGCGTTTGACTAAGTAACCACAAGCAGTCAAAAAAAGGGAAACATTTTTTAGTTTGATTGAATTGTTTCAAGTATGAATATACAATGAGCAACCAAATGAGCCTTAAAGACTAAAAACTGGGGGGAAACAGCTCCTTCCACCACCAAGCCCATCTAAAGCACCTCATGAACACTTTCATTTGTTTAATCGGTACAGAAACAGTAAGGAAAAATGGCAGCTACTTGCCTACAATCAATGGCCCTGCCCATGAAACAAATACAATTCTGAATTGTTCTGTATATACAGTAGTATGCTAATTAGATGCCATTCAAACAGGTGCTGGTAGGGATATTTTTTAACCTTTGGATAGAGTCTTTAGGTTATGCTAAGCTATGCTAACAAGCCTCCGGCTATAGGTTCTCCTGGCAAGAAAGGAAAAGGATTTCAAACATTTCCTTTAATCCAGAGCCATGTGAGAGATGCAGCCTGTCAATATGTTTGATTATTTGGCTCAACAGGAGTGAATATCTAAACAATACCATTAAGGTTACACTCAGGACTTATTATTACCCTCCCCTGGTGTTGTTGCAGTGTCAGGGGAGGTGATGTGTCCCGGCTGGTCCCGTGCCAGCACATTCTTGGGACCAGACCTTATATCTCCTGTCCACACGGCTCACATAAAAAGCTGCCCATTGTTTCCAGCGGCCACTGTTTGACTCTCTACATCTCTACAGAAACCCGCTTGCAGGTAAAAAAGGGATATATTTTATAGTTTTTTGTCTCGCGATTCAATTCAAATTTGGTGAAATTGCTGTTTCATTGTTTTGTTCTGGTTTACCGACGTTAAACAAAGTCTGTCCGGTACAGCTGTTATTATAGACAGCGTTTTTTACGGTTTTGTCAAGTGTATCATCTAATTACTAGATCTTTGTAAAATGTGTCCGCCGGATGGGAATATTCATTTTTGCAGATCATCTACTTGTGACCACAGCTGTCACGGCTCTGTCTGTTTCGTTTGATCAGGACGTTTTTTTTTTAACGAATCTGTCAAGCTGCCGCGTTTCTCTGCGAAAAAGGAAACCACTGAGATAATGCTGAATACAGGGAGAGGGAACTGTTCTCGTCATGTCCTTGCGTTAATCCTCTTGTCAAGGGTGGAGAACTGTTGTGGCGCCTTGGTGGGTCAATTTACACAGGGCTATATCGGGGTGCCGTAATACCCCTAAATTGTACTAATAGCCATTTCCCTCCTGTGTTTTTTCATAATAGTTCTGAAAACAGGTAAGAAAATGAAAACTTTATCCCTGAATGCTCATCTCATAGTTTGTATTTATTTAATTGCCGGACATATTACTATTCAAATAGATAAAAGAGTCTTTGTGTTCTCACATCAACCTATTTGCACATTGTATCATTAAACTAATTTGTCCCTGTTTTTGATTTCAGCCTACCGACTCAAGACGATGAATCCCAAAGGGGATAAGGTGAGCGAGCTATATTCCACAGTGATAATCCTCCATGCACCGGACACGGTGTCCTGATGCGCCAGGCAAAGATCTGGCAGCGCTTATCTGGCCGGCGTTGTTATCAGCTTCAATGAGAGCTTTCCCCTTGACCTCATCCTAATAATAAAGCACTATCTCTCCACATGCGGCGGCAGTGAGTGGTGGCATATTTGACTTTCCACATACGTGTTTTTACTGTACGTGGAACCGCCATTTGTCACGGCTTCGGGTAGAGTAGCAAGAATCTCTCAGAATGGTTGCGAAATAGTAGTCATCAAAAATGAAATGTTTTACAGCTAATTTTAAAGTGCGTGATAAAATCTTCTCTTTCCACAGCCGAAGTCGAAGATTTCGGCTTCTCGCAAGCTTTCTTTAAAGGTGAGATTTAGCACAAGCATTTGGGTAATGTACACCACTTGGCAACTGCAGAAGTTCTCCTTTTTGGGAATCCCTGCTATAATGCCACAACATATTGTGAGACTGTGTACATGTGCAAACAAAACACCTTTTGACATATAGTATTGCAACTTGGAGGCTGTACATCACTTTTATATGAACGGTTCTGAGTTTTAAATCGGTATCTGTTGTGTCAAATCAGATGCTTCTCCTCACAAAAGCCTGTGAGGATTTGGAGAAGGAGAAGCAGGAGAGGGAGGAGGAGAAAGTGCGCTATATAGGAGAAAATCTGCCCCCTTTGCAACTGTCTGGGTTATCAGTGGACGAACTACAGGTAAGGGGTGTTTACTACGGAAAAGAGCTAGTTTTTCTACAACAGGAAATATATCTCCATTAAAAGACCTTAATACCTTAAAAATCTTCCTCGTTCCCCCAGAAAATGGTCAAGGAGCTTCACTCAAGGATCGATGTCGTGGACGAGGAGCGATATGACTGCGAATCCAAAGTGGGCAAACACAACAAAGATGTAGGTGAAAACTCTCCTCCTTGAGTGCTTCATTCTTAGCAAATCTTTAAAGACAGCTTAGTTTGTTCCTTTTCTTTTTAGATCCACGAGCTGAAGCTGAAGATACAGGACCTCGGAGGCAAGTTCAAAAAGCCTGCCCTGAGGAAGGTGAGGGTGTCGGCGGATGAGATGATGAGAGCTCTCCTGGGCTCCAAGCACAAGGGTTCGATGGACCTCAGATCCAACCTCAAGTCCGTGAAGAAGGAGGACGTCAAACAGGACAAGGTGCTGTTCCACGCACTTCCAAATGTTAAGCCTGCCGGTTAAACCAACAAGGTGTCAACGGGAGAGATGATGTGTTTCAATTCAGGCTTTTTTCTTTACGTTGAACCTCAGGTGCTCACCTCTGAAGTGGGCGACTGGCGTAAGAACGTGGAGGCCATGTCGGGCATGGAAGGCCGCAAGAAGATGTTCGACACAGCCGGAGGACCGCAGTGAGATGCTTTTGGAGGAATCCTGCGTATGGTGAAGAACAAGTTGGGATGATGTGCGATAGGCTAAGGGACATGAACGCGAGACGAATCACAACGGCCATAAGCATGTGCAACCACCGCTAGCTGTGCCTCAATTTTCTAGACGACCATATTTTTGTGCAATGCCTCAAAGCACTTGAGGCGAAGTGTAGAATGAGACCCGTTGTTTTTTGATTACAAAAGTTACAATATTCCTGTTTTGCTATGACATCTTTGGACAATTGAAATGGATTTGAATAAAGTTGTGCTCTTTGATCCACCGCTCACTTCATCACATTTCATTTCACAGGCACCTGTCGGTTCATGTAAGGCACGGTAAGATGGCAGAAAGCGGCTTAACTCGCGGTGGATTAAAAAAGGAAGCTGATAAGTCAGGGGAGGGGGGGTGTGACAGGTGTCACCTGCCTAAATCTGACCTCATCATTTTGAAATAGATCTTAAAGACACCGCCATGGAAGAGAAATACAATTCAAAGGACTCACAAATAATGAGGAAGACCTTTTCTATATTGTTAACCATTTTGAACAATGGAAAATCACCAGGATTATGCTTTTCTCATTTCTCAGACTTCTCAGAAACTTGAAGAAAGTTCAAAACAACGAGTGCGGCTTCACTCCTTCTTGATAAGTCGTATTTTTAGAGTAGTTTGATGATCGAAATAAACCCCAGGAGACGTGGCTTGAATTTTATACTCTTGAACTCCGCCACAATGCCCGTCCTCCATCACTCTTAAGCCCCCTGGCATTGTTGAACCACACGTTGCATGCGTGCATGTGCTTCTTCTGTCGACTGGCTGTCACCAAGACATCGTTAATGGAAGCATGACAGCCACACCAACATTAGCTTCAGTTGGTGTGTATGACATGCTGACGCCAAAGAGCCCTTAGAAATGCCTGACGATTGTGTGTCACTCATGTGTCTGTCATCGTCCACCTCTGCTCCGTGTCTGTGTGTCGGGGGGGGGGGGGGGGTCATGTTAAAAAAGCCCACACGTGACCTCTCGCACTCAAGCTTAGCGAGCTGATAGTGAAAAGCAAACCAGGTCCCTCGACGTCCATAAATAGGCACCGACGAGGGCGACCTTCACGTACTGCAAATGTTCCAGATGTGCTATCCGGAGTCAACACCACATGGCGACTGTGAAACGCAGAAGGTCAGGACGCTGGAGTCTTCGGCGAAACCCGACAAAGACGACGAAACACATTAAAAGTGTGGCTCGACGTGCCAGGCGGTCATGCGATGGGGGGGAGGGTGGGGGGAGGGAGGCAACGCGGTGTGCTTCATCGTCAGCGCCACTCGGTGGCAGCCCACGACCAAAAGGAACACGGCACAACTGCTGCCGTCACTAGCTGAGCCACGCAGGGATTCGTAACGTGACTTGACGTCTGCTGCCTTGGAGGAGGCAGGAAAGCGTCATTCCTCCGAGGAAGAGGAGCCTGACAACAAGCAGTTCATTTCACTCACGGAATAACCCCGAGGAAAATACTAATTAGCATTAGTCTGCAAAGATTACAATGTTCGCAGCGCGTTTGCGTGTCCTGATGAGGCACGTGTGATTGATGTTGTTAATCTTCAGCGAACAACACAAGCAGTGTATTTATTTGGGGGGGGTATCTGACAGGGGGGGCCCTGTGATAGGACGGGCTGCGCTGAGACCGGGAGCTCCACAATCAGTCTGTGGAGCAGCTAATGATGTCATGTATCTTGTCTGAATGTCCTTGAGTAAGACAGGCATCGCCATACATTTTCCCAGTGTCACACGTCCTCTCCTTGTGTGTATCTGCCGCCCGTCAACAGGTCGTAACACTTGCCTTCTAAAACCACCACGGTTTTCGATACTATGCTCTGGGTTTTGCCTTTCCGTGATTAAATAGCCGTCTTCAGTTGGCGAAGAAACTGGCAACCTTCCTGTGATAATCCAATTTCTGTGACCTCTGGGCTTATGTTGCGCTAACCAGCTGTATGTGTTCACAGCTCTCTGTGGTGATAACACAAATAAGCAGCTTGAGGCAAATCCTGTTTTCTTTTCCAAATGTTAGGCTCCATTTGGAGGTAATGACACCGAAAAAGGAGCTTTGACTATACAAGTAGACTGTTGGATTCAGGGGTTTAACGTGAAAGGAGCACACACGCGCATACGTTTTGCAATATGCTCCTCTCAAAGTCAAAATGTGTTTGGAGCGGGAGGTGAGGAGCTTTTCAACCTCAATGCAACTTTCACACGGAGCACATTTGGGATTCATTGGAGGCTGATGTCACACGTGTTCGTGACTCATATTTTTGGTTCGGACATTTAAAGTGTCCTTTGGTTTTCAGCTACACATTTGCTCCTCTCTGTTTTCTTCATCTCCTATGGACTTGAATGAGTTGGAATACTTTATTTGTTGTAAGAGGTGGCAAGTTAAGAGGAAAGGAGGGAGAATCTCTTTGCGGATTCTCTGTGTTTGTGTGTGTGTGTGTGTTTTTTTTCTTCTAAAAGCGGTTGCCGGGCTGTTTCATCAGCTTCGGCTCGGGGTTCAGAGCGGGTCAGGCCTCGACCCGCCCACCTGTGACAGGCTTTGCTATGTCTTTTCCCCCCCTGAACACCAAAGCAGGCCTAGTGTTAACAAGATGCAGCTTATAAAAGATCCCCTTTGCTTTAATCGGGAGGAAGCTTTTAAATGTCTGCGCAGTATTATCAAATTAACAAGAAGACGGATTTTATTTATTTCATTTTAATTTAAATCAACCCTTCTCCGATGCAAGTGTCCAACACTGCACGTCTTGACAACTAACGCATAAGACAAACAAATTCACCACCTAATACAAGAGGAGGAAGTTATCCAGCTTTACCGTTTGTTTAAAGCCTGTTAACACATTATTAAATTTGGGAGTCGTAATTTGGCACCGGAAAATTTAAGAATTCTGATCACACTGAATGCAACAAATATTAGGAACATCTTTACAAGCAGCCTGTTTTTCATAACCCAAATCCCACTCAAACCTCCATGGTGTAGAGGAACTATTTAAGATTAAAGAAGATTAAATTTGGCTGCCGACCAAGCGTAATTTGACGAGTTGAGAGTGAGAATGTGTTGCCATTATAGCTCGCCAACAGACACTAAAGATACGCACTAACTGTGTCCAGTTAGCATCACACAGCTGCTGGACTCAGATTCATATTAAAAGATGACCTTCACTTCATGTAGAATCATCTCTCATTTTTATTATTATTTCATAAGACAGCTGCATGCTGGGTAAATAATAAACAGTCCTTGCTGAACCATTCAAAGCGTAGATGCTGATGGTATCGGTAATACCTCAACTGGCACCAGTGCCGTGTCAGTAACGGTGTATAGCGCTTCAGGCAATTCATCTCCACCTGACGTTAATTGTTTGATGGCGTCAGCTCTGCTCTCTTAACTAATGTCCTTAACGCTCCAGAGTTCTTGATAAATTCCTGTCTCCTTTTCACACGTTTCTTCTACTTTCACCCCCCCCTTTTCACAACGTGAACTTAGTCGAGTTCTTGGTCATAATTTCTGAGCAAACGACGGCAATGACATTTTGAAAAAAATCTTCTTTCTTTCTTTCTTTTTTTTTCTTCCCTGTCCTTTTTTACGCCGAAAGGGAAAGCGATGACACATAAAACCTCCATAACCATTGAGTCATTGTAGAGCAAAGAGTCTCTCAAACTCTGAGTCAAGATCGGGTGCATGCAACCATAATATTAATGAGAAGCGCAGCCCAGAACAAAAGGGGAAGAATGGAGAGGTTTTCTTTTAATGTTGAGTGGGGAAGATTTTGAAAAGGCGAGGAATATCTTTAAACGCTGCAAGGGTAGAATGAATGACAGACATCACTTAAAACAGAACGTTTCTGAATATGATTGCAGGTGCTGAGTGACACAAAACAAAAGGCAGGAGTTCTTCAACTCTTCAGTTTCTCTAAAAGTTGCATTCTGTGTGTGTGTGTATGTGTGTGTGTGTGTGTGTTAGATCCGCCATCAAACGCTGCTAAATAATAAGAGGGAATACTGCTGGTCTACTTCCAACTTAGCACAAACCTCGAGACAAAACAGGACTCTGGGGACAAAGCCCATATGAGTAAAACACAGTTTTGAAGTGAAAGTTCCGGAGGAGGATCTGAAGACGGGGCACAACTTTGATGCCAGCTAACTTTCAAACTTTCCACAGCTTTTTCAGGAGGGAGGCATCGGAAAGTCAGTGATGTCTCCAAGATTGTACAGAATAAAATATTTCACCTGAGGTTGGTTTGCTTTGTTAGCCGTGTTGTAGAGATGACAATATAGCTCTGTCAGTTGGTCTCCACACTAAAACATCTCAAAATGATTGAATGGATGGTGATCACCTTTTGGACAGACGTTAAATGGCGCCCCGGAGGATAAGTTAACTTAAACCCTGACTTTTGCTGTATAAAAGGTAGGTCCCATCCGCCTCAGCTTTGCACAAATGATATGCAAACTCTAGCATGCTAAATATGCTAAGCTAACTAAGATGGTGAACATGGTGAACAACGTTTGAAATTTTTGCATTTTTGTTTGGTTGCAGGCTCATGTTATGCATTAAGTCCAACGCGATGCTATAGCCTCACACTTCCAGCACGGTCGTTGTCGTTTAGGGCGGACGATGTGTGACCCCCTCAGAACGCGGACCCCTCCGTTAGGTAATTGGTGTTAAAGGTGGGTTGCATTTCTTCCTGCCAAAGTTCCATAACAAGTGAAGCTGAACTCTGGTGATCTGCACCATTTCCATTTTTTGCCTCCTTACAGCCAGCTGCTCTTCACCTCACTGAGGTTATAAAGCAGCCTTATGGATGCAGAGACCTTGGTGCTCCCAGTCTAGCTCACGACTGGTCCTAATGCTTCACTGTCTCAAGGTCATAAGATATTATACTTTTTTTTAGTTTTAGGAAACTTTTAACGATATATATAGCACTCATGACGGCATTGTTAAGGCCGCTCCTGTTCTGGATGAACATGCCAGTTTGTCCTTTCCTTCAAAAGTTACATACGATATCCTTTTAGATCATCTCGTTGGTGTAAATCCTTCTGTCCCCGACAAACACAGAGGCCCGTTGCCTCTAGAAACGGTATCCACTTCACAATGGTTCACGAGGAGGAAAGATTCCTGCACATTTGCAATGCGGCAACCGAGTGAAATTGCAAATCTTAGAAGCTTCACACTGCAGCGACCAGAAGAGCGCAGCCATCTCTCTCAGTGAGATATCACTTCAGTCTGTATCAGGAGGGATCATCTCTGCCAGACCTAAAACCCATTTCCTTTCCTTGCTCTGCTTGCATGCTATCCGTCTGCTTGACTTGTTTTTTTATTCCCCTTTTTTGGTAAAGTCAGAGATAACGAGGCACAGACTGAAAGCCATCCGGCCTTTCCCGATCCAATTTGGAAAGTAGTTAAAAATCATACTGCTATCACAACAAAGCAGGGGCAAAATATAGTTGTGCCCCAAAATGTTTATAATGATGACGATGACTTTGCATAACTAAACCGAGTTTGAATGGGCAAAATAGAACCCTTAAAACATGTTTTTATGTGTTCCATCAAATGATTTGCATACTGCTGCTAAGTGAGCATCCTCATTCAGACGAAGATTACACTCTCTACCATTGCACTCCTGCAGGGGAACATTCCCAATAATACTACCACGCAACCGACTGGCGATACTAATAACATCACACATTCACATGGCGTTTCTCAATGGCATGCTGAAGTTATATCTACAAAGACCACATTATATATATTTCTTCTTGCTTTCAGTGTGATAAAATATGGTGTTTCAGAGGTATTGAATGGATGGATGTAAAGCGATGAGAATCAAGGTCATGTGCATGTAAAAAATACATTCCCACATTCTTTATAGAGAGCAGCTAGACTTTTTCTTTGATGACATAACACGTTTGAGACTCCGATCTCTGTTTCTGGCTCTGAGAGGGTGTAGCTCACGCCCACGAATGCTGAATTTTCCACAAGATGCGAGCAGTGTGGATTTACGTGTGAAACGTGCGTGACAGCTTCACCGTCTCCAATGCGCGCTGACATCACCGGCCCACCAAGGCCACGCCCTCCGCACTCCGGTGATGCTGATCCCCCCCCACCCCCGCTTTGCATCAGCACCATTTCTGGTATCCTCAGACAGAGAGAGAGAGAGAGAGAGAGAGAGAGAGAGAGAGAGAGAGAGAGAGAGAGAGAGAGAGAGACTACCCAACCCCAGCAGCGCGTAGAGGCGTCAGACGGCCGCCAGAGCATCCCGGTTGCGCACTGTTCAGAGGCCCCATCGACGTTTCGCAGCGCCGGAAGCAGCTGGAGAAGAAGTGCACATCGCCGGGCACACGGCCACATTTACAGTCAGTGATGGAGAGCCTGCTGGATAATCCAATGAAAGCCGTTCTTTACCTGAAGGAGCTCACCACTATCGTCCAGAACCAGCAGAGCCTGATCCAGACGCAGCGCCAACGCATCGACGAACTCGAGCGAAAGGTGGAGGACCTGATAGGAGAGAACCGACAGTTGCGCGACCCCCACCACTACGTCCAGCAGCCTCCTCAGCAGCATCACCACCACCACCACCACCCGAGTCACCGCAGCGCCAGTCCGCAGGCGCCGGCCAACCTCCATCAGCACCCGGGGAGCAACAAAGCCGCGGCTCATCTCGGCCAGCAGGCGCAGCAGCAGCAGCCGCCTCCGCCTCCGCCACCGCAGCAGCAGCAGCAGCAGCAGCAGCATCATCATCATCAGCAGCAGCATCAGCAGCAGCCGATCCCCGGTCTATCGGCCCAGCCTCAGCAGCATCCGACCCCGACTGCGCCGTCATCCCACCACCACCCGCAGCAGCTGCAGCTCGTCCCGACCTCGCCGCAGTCGCCCAAAGCGAGCCAAGGCAGCCCGGACTCCGCCGAGGAGGACAAGAGGAGCCCGTGCTGCAAGTCCCTCGTGCCGCAGACACCCACCACTCTCTGCCGCTCAGTGGGACTCGCGCGGAAAGCGGAGTGAGTAGCCGGTGTGGCGTTCATGTGCTCTCCAGAGAGCCGCTGTCTCAACGGGATATTTACTGTGTGTAAGAAGGTGTGCTCGGATAAGATGCACGGATAAGAATGTAGATGTAAATGCCTGTATTGTGGAAATCGTCTTCAATTCGCTGGATTGTCATGTGTTTGCAGCATGTACTTCCATTGAAATGATTTAAATGAGTATTTCTCATCTCTAGCCTCATAAAAGTAATTAAACACTCAACATTACATCCTTTGACCCATCGGAAATTTTTTGCAGGGCAAACTTTCTTGTCTAAATATAGCAAATGTGTTTGGGCAGAAAACACTTTGATACCCTAAAGGGCCATCGGACACAATGTCACAGCATGTTATCGCCCACGTCGGCGTGTCACCTCTCGGAACATATTCGAGGGAAGCAAGACAGCAACGATTTCATGGAGCGGAAACAGAGAAAGTGCTGAAAAGTTGTATCACAAAAAATGTGTAAGGCCTGCGCTTTTGATTAAGTTCACATCCCCTGAAAAGCAAAGGCTTGAATTTGTAATTCAAGCTACTCTTGTTTTTTCCCATTATTCACTCAGTTGTTGTCCCGTTTAATCAATTGAATGCTTAATAGATATTGATTTTGCGTACGCGGGCTGGCATTTTAACCACGGTGGATTGTTCATTCTGCGCCACGTCTGTCCCGACTGGGTGGGACTATGCATTACTTAAAGTGTTTGATGGTGACTTGTAACAGAACGGAAAACAGAAGTTTTCTTAAATCATGCGCTGAATATTTGTGTCACCTCTTGTCCTTTTAGATCTGTGGCCCATTCCGGTGTTTGTGCCTCCGATTGTGTTTCCACGCTCTGAATGTGTAATGACCATCTTTTGAAAATGCATCTGTTTCAAAAGGGAGGAAGCGAGAGACACATTGAGAGGTGACATTGTAAACGTATATAAAGTGACAATAGGTCTGCTTTTTATTGACTGTATCAGCCTCTGGACCGTCCATGACGTTGAATGTTCTTTGTTCGCCACTATCAAGGTCACATGAATTACCTCTGGCAAGGCAGCACACACTCACTCACGCACGCACACAAACACACACACACACAACGCACCGCGCCGAGCCCCGTCTGTTCCACTCGGCTGCATTTGCATTGTTTCCGTTAATCCAGATTGATTATTCGTGGCATTAAGATATAATTCCTAAAGAGCGTGGGGTCGGGAATAGGACGGATAGAAGAAGTAAAAAACAACAACAACAACTGCTTTCTCTTGGATTCACAAACACACTCAACGTGTGAGTTGTACGGGATGAATGTCAGAGGGGGATTCAATAAGTGGGTTCATTTCTCAATCTACCAACCCACGCCCCCCTGACAGTTCTGCAGAATGATGAACAATGAGGGCAATATGAAGAGAACTCAAGCGAGGGAGATGGAGAGCGTGTACTGCACACCGTCTTATTTCCCTTAACGTAAAAGGCAGTGACACATGAAAAGCAGGAGATGTGAAGCCAGCATCGCAATCTCCACTTAGAGCATTGATCGTGGTCAGACAAGATGGCGTTCCGTTGGGCCGTCAGTGCCGCAGGGGCACTAATGCGTCTCTACGAGTGGGAGGGTGACGGGGACGTGTCATCGTACTGTTTTGAAAGGGTTGTTTCTAATAAGTGAAGCACGGAAACAAGGAAGCCAGTAAGCACTGAATCCATTTTCAAAACTTTAAATGAACAATTAAACGCTCGCTCTTTCTCACGTCATGCATTCCCCTCAGCTTCCTGTTGTTCATGATTTTCAGAATGCAAATCCGCCATCGGCTCTAAACGGTGAATGCGGCAGAAAAGTTGATTCCAGACTTGTCATTCGGTGTGAGCACAAACTCCTCAGACGGAGAGTTTGAAGTGTTGCAATTGCGTTACTCAGTCGGAGGATGATTCTTAAGGGGCTTGTGTGATCTGAGGGAAGCCTTCAGCAATGCTGCCGATACGCTTTCCTCCGACTCCCTCGACCTCCATAGGTGTTTCCTGCCTCCTTGTTCCCGGCTGACAAATTATTATTCCCTCTCCCTCCTTGAATGTTCTTGTCTCCTCTTTATCGAAACTCATCCCCCCCCCATTTCTTCTTCTCCATCATCTCACCCGCACCTCCCTGTTGTCCTTGTATAGGAGCCACCTCTGCAGTCTGGATCAGTATTCAGTCCCATCCTCTAACCATACGGCTCTCTACCACTTAACCCGTCCCCGGGCTGGGCTAGAGGGTTCAGTCCGCCCTGTCCTTTGGTCCTCCCTCCTAACGCTCTGGGGGTTGCCATGGTGCGTGCATGTGAAACTACGAGATAGTCAAGAAGAGTGGCAGGAAGCCTGGTGAGGAGGTGGTGTGTGCAGTGCTCGTCTGAGAGGCGACTATCCCGTAGCCTTAGGTGGAAATCCCAAAGTTCTCAATAGCTTGCATGTGATTCTCCGTCTCACTCTCACGGAGATTTTAAGGCTCTTGCTTTTGCACACAAAACACTCGCTAATGCACACTAACGTGCCACATGCCACCTGTCACCTGCCACCTGGCGGCCCGCATGTTTTTTTGGACCGCCACTGACGCCCACTGCGCCCCTCTCTGGCCTTCTTTTTTTTCTCGTACTGGCTAAGCACCAGCCCCAGAGCGCAGAGTGCATGCCATCTCATATGCTGGGATGTGCAGACAGCACATATGCAGGTAGGAATTCAGAAACCCGCTGAGTGCCTGCTGGACGCTGCAGTATCCTTGTTCTGATGCTCTCAGATCAATGAGCCTGCGGATTTTCGAGCCCAGGCTCCACTCCAGCATTGATCTCCAGGTCTCATGGCCTTTGCTTAAAGCCAAGTTATCCCTTATCTGAATCTATATGGGTAATTCCTTTTAATATTTGACTGACTTCATGGGTGCAATGAGCACTTACCACAAGGTCAAACCTTAGAGCAACACTAATCTTTGTTAAAAAAGGTATTTTTTCGTAAGCCCACACAGTTGTGTGGCCAGCTGGGTCACACTTCTTGTTATTGGCCATTTGTTAAGATACTTATAAGTACCCTTCCTTACACCCTACTGGCAAACAATCAATTGCACAAAGCGGCAACTTGAGATAAAGTGAAAAATGCCTGTGTAACACTTTTAGATCCCCAAACCCAATATTATGCAGCTTTTTATATGTAAAAAAAACCCTTGGTATGAAGTCCAAAATATCAAAATATCCCGTTATAATACATGTGCTTAAGCTAGTACCAACCAATATCAACCAACACTATCATGCCATGCATTTAGTAGTCAACCTGCAACAATTAGCAACGAGGGAGGTGGGAATGCTTGGTATCGCATTCCGCTCTAAACCTGGCCACCCTTGTAAAGGATTAGATTAAACCTGCCAAGAAGTCATTGGTTTCACTCCCATTCATGTTAGTACAGAAAGTAAAAATGATTTTAACCAGATGTTAAAACCATATTCATTGATTTGTTTGCCACCTGGTGCAGTGGGGAATGTTGTAAAACATATTCGAGATATCACCACCTCATCAACTTGTCATGGTGAATTTTCTAGCAAATTTGTTGACGACTCAAAGCAAAACTGCTATTAATTGAGATTCATGTATCAGATTTAAACCGCTGAGTTTAAATCTGATATTCCCTCCCACCATTTTGCTCCATCCGCGCCTACAGGACATATCTGTCAGCATCGCCGCTGAAGGCTTTTCCGTGTTGACCAGCGTATCGCCGACTGTCTGTCTGCCCGTTGTTGCTGGGCAGGTAAGCACACAGAGGCTTTACAAAGAGCTCTTAGCTGAAAACAAGGTTAATGGGAGCCGTAAGAGCGAACAGCTGCCCAGTTGAAAAGCAACACAACAATGAGAACATATGTATTGTTTTGTGATTATTTAGGCGAACAGTCCCTGGAGGCTGACAGAAAAGTAGAACCACTGCCCCGCTGAGTGTTTGTCTCTCAGGGACAGTGATAGAGATTCAAGGGGAAAATAGAATGACGGATGATGGATGCGATGAGCTCAAATAGACATATTTTCTCTCTCTGAATTTCGCATTCCTGTTGTCAATACTCGAGAGCTGAATCCGCCTCTCCCTCTCCTGCGAACCTCTGCTCTTTACTTCGCCTCCCCCAGTCTGAATGGGAATCACGTCCGCTCCGTTTATGACAGGGTGGCTTTGCTCGGCTGCCGCTGGAATCCAAATCATGAATATCACATTCGGAGAGTAGTGCTTTTAAATTGCTTCATTTCTCAGAGGATGTAGCTGCCGGGTGATTCCTGACTCCCGGGTAGAATATTAGCTGTTTTCATGCACAAGTTGAGCAAGGCGAAAGACAGCCCCTGTTGTCGGTAATCCAGCCTTGTGTGTGTTTGTGTGCGTTAAAGATTGTGAGTTGTGTTTGGGTGTTAAAAGGACAAGGTAAGGGGATCGTTTCTGGGATGAGTTTCTCACCTTTTCATTCATGTAGTGGCTGTACGGTCGACTGGAATCACACGAATAGGGTTAATAAGACCAAACATACAGGGAAGCCCCCACAGGGCTGGAGAGCCCAAATGTTGCCTCGCTTCCATCTGTTTACCTCCTTTCCCTCGGCAATTCCAAAGCAATCAAAATTACGACGTTTTTATTTAATTTTTTTAACTTACATCCCAACTGGCGGTCCTCCGTCTCTGTGGCACTACGTCGACTCAGTGAAAGATGTGTCATCCTCGTCCTTGACACTTCCAGATGACACCATCTTTTCTATGTAAATATTGCACACCCACATGACGGCTCTGCATAGAAATATGCTTTTGCCGCTAGTCATGTGGCACCATCTGCAAAGTGACTTCTCTCCTTCATGGTTGGGAGTAAATTATTCACATATCTTATTGATGCATTTCATGTCTTCTTCATGCAAATGAACAGTAGACATAATGAGAAATCAGCAGACAGTGTCTGTCATCGGAATGCAATCTACATATTTTTTTCTTTTAGAATCTGGGCTGCAAAATGGAA